TATTATTATCCCCATCATCATCATTTTCATTATTATTATGTTCTATTGTGTCCATGTTTATTTGCGCAATTAAATATAAATTTAATATAATAATATAATGATATTAATTATGAATAATACAAATATGATATCAAATACAATTGGTGTAATAATAGGTATTCTACAATCTATTACTATTATTATTATCCCCATCATCATCATTATCATTATTATTATGTTGCATTGTGTCCATGTTTATTTGCGCATTGTGTTTGATGAATGAAAGTCCTGTGCAAGAGACAGGGCAATAGTGCAAGCATGCACCGGCTTGTGACGGTCGATTCTGGCCAAAATGTTGACATTTTCCGTGCTCTTTGCTCATCACCACGACCCACCAAAGAGGCGCCCAAATGCATGACCCCGGGCACGAGGCGACAGTGACGTTATGAAGGCATGAGGCGACATGAGTCTGCGACTGTATCGTCTCCAACTTGTCCTCGTGTCACATGAGTCAGGCAAGCGCCAAGTGCACAACGCCACTTCACCTCGGCCAGAGGGTATGCAATGCATGCATGACCGCCCAAATGAGCCATTGTCTTGTCATCCATTTTGGACGTCTCGTTGTCTCGGTCCACTTCTCCCTTCTGCCCTGATTAGCATTCACTCGCTGACTGACCTCCCTCACGAGGCGCACACTTTGTTGGTTCGTCCTTAAACTGACAAGACCCCTCTGCCCATGCGACATGAAGCGTGATATTTCGCCAAAAATGCCTCATTCCAGGCCATGCTGGCGGATGTGATACCGAGTGTGCACGTTTCCGATCCCCACGCAAAGATAACAGTTGATATGACACTTTAAAAATATGCCCATTTTGCGGCCAATTAACATGCATCAAAGTGGTCGGTTGTAGCAAATCCAACCGCGTCAAACTGACTTATAAATGTGTCACACTACTCATATCGGTGGCGAGTAGAGTGATGAAGGAGTGAAAGGTGACTTTTGCCCCGATGAAATGAAATGAAAAGCTTTTACCGACTCGACTTGACCTTGCCCCAAAACGCGAAACGAGCCCGACCCGTGCGATGTCAATTTCCGACTTTTCACATGCCTCGCCTATTTTTCACTGCCAGTGCATGCACGGTCGTGTGAATCATGCTGCTTCAGCGGGATGTGCAGTATTTGCTGAGGCGCTTGGCTTTGAAGCAGACCGAGCATCCCCTCAGACGCACAACTGGCCCGAAATGTAAATATTCAGATGCATGCATTTCGGTATGACTGCACTACAGCAGATTGAGGCAAAGTAGTAAATGACGTGTCCGAGGCAAAATTGTGAGGGGCCAGCCGGATTTTCGAGTGACTTTTTTCGTTACATCGAAAAGGAAAGTTGTGAATAAGTCACTTGTCTGAAAACGAGGACGTCATTAATTAACACCAAGTTACAGCTTCATTTCCAATTGACTCATATTTGAGTTGAAACGATGCACATTTCGGTTGAAATATGTAATACAGTACAGTTTGCAGAGTCAAAGTGAGCTCGGTCATAATAAGTATTTGACTATAAAATGTTTTGGTGTAATATGGAGGGCAAAGAGAAAATTGTCAAAATTATGACAAATCGGAAGTTAACGTTTAGACGATGTAGACCTCGAGCAGTTAAAAGTATCAAGTAAAAAGGATCCAATAAATGGCAAGATGCATACATCAACTGAATTGACTGTTGAGTAATGGTTAAAATGTGACAATAAAAGACGGATTTGCATATAAACAAATGGTATTAAATAAATTTCTTAATAATTAATGCGAACAAGAAATGAAAGTAAAAAGATAAAAACTAAAAATGCTAACTAGCAAAGGAATAACAAGCAGAATTGGCTAGTCTGCAAAAGATCATTGCATTGATGGATATAAAAATGGGTTTTTTTCCATTTTTTCTCAACTTTATCAAAGTTATGGTCCTCTGCTATTGTAGTCAAGTCAACCAATTGTCTCAATCATTCCGCACGGTTCCCATTTGTAGTGTATTACAGTTATTCATGCTTTCATTGTGCCATTACAACTTGATGAACCTGGATTAACGTCAAAATTTGCTCTACTCTCCTACAGTCATGTTAATATGTTCTTGTGCACAAGTACAAGTACACAAGTACAAACACGAATGTATAATATAAAAAGAGCTAATCAAATAATTATATATCTCTTTGTGTGTATTTAAATATTTTCAGTTACTCTTTCGCACTTAGTGTAACCATGACGTATGGCAGAAGTAATCTCAGCCCATTTTCGGCGGAGAATGTTTCAGTTGTCATGACGGTTCATCGAGACTAACAATAGATCTGACACTCGAGCTGTTTTCCGCCTATTTCGTGTAAGACGAGCAAAGACTGGTAGTTGAATTTTCCTACAGTGGATTTCACACTTCACATTGCTTTCGCAAAGTGTCTTCTCGTCCCGATCCTACCGGCGGGACTCGAACTCATTCGTTAAACAGCACACCCGATTGCCACAGTGAAGCTGTGAACTGCAAGCTAGGCCAGGCACTTTTCCGCATCACATTCTGTCGTGTGATTGTCGATGAAGTAGGTCACGTGTCTAGAATGCGCGCTGCACTACCGCGGCCAGGGTTCGAGTCCCTTTGAGGGTGCAGATGAGGTCGAAAGTGAAGTCAACTCCCAGCCGCTCATCAGCTTACACAAAATCGTGTGAAAATGTTTTATGTCGTCTTCTGGTGAAGGACCTCGTGAACGAAAGAGCCGATTTCGTGAGGTTGAATGATGCTTCCCTCCGGTCCCCACACCAACTTTATTGCCTCTCTTGCAGCTGGGGTCATTAATACGTGGAAAAGATGAGTTCA